TTGAGTAACGTAACGGAATACGTTACAGAATACATTTTGGGGCATGTATTCTGTATTCTGTAAAAGTAACCTTCCCAACACTGCCGATATCAGACTTAATGATCCCTCATCACAGGAAACATTTCAACTAAACATCACAAATAAAATCAGCAGAACAGATTAAACAAATTATCTAGGAGGGGGATGAGACTGGGAACCGTGGGAAGCTTTTCCCAGTAAATGAAATTAAGGGCTATCGTTAATATTGGAACACTAAATAATGTCAGAGAAAAATAATTCGGATGTCTAGGTTACCTTTTACATTTGTTAGACATACAAATCCTGATATCGTGACACGCGCTGCAGTTTAATTCCCTCCGCGAGAGCGCATGGTGCATCTGCAGAAGTGTGGCCATGTGACCATCCACACAGGAAGAGGAGTTGAGAAATGAGTCAGAGATTCCTCCTCCGCACAGAAATCAGACAAAAAGTCCTAAAAATCCAGCCCGGAGCGCCTTTCCATCGTCACCATGCCGTGCTGCAGGCTGCGCGCTCTGTGTCAGTATGAAACCAACAAGCTGGTCCGGATCCAGAGCGTCCGGCTCGGCTCACTCAAGTGGAGTCTGAACGGAGCCATTCTGCTCTTCATCTGGTGAGTGGATGTGAAATATCTGAGCCCACGCACGCACAGTGCGGCTCAGCTCGCACTTCTCACTTTTGCACTTTCACAAGTCCCGTTAAAGCTCAAAGCGTCTGCAGGGAGAAACAGACACGAGTGGTCGTTTATGAATATGTGACTGAGTCTGAACTCCAGTTTGAGTGCGAGATCCTTAAAATTATCTTCAATTTGTGGAGGAACAAATTTCATATCCAGCAAGTTTTTAACTCATTTTGGTTGATTTCCATTTGGAAAAGGAGCATTTCTGTTGCTTCCCACCAAACATGCATAGCTAGTAGCAGAGACGGCTGCAGAAAAACATGACCTTTCTGTTATTAGACAAGAAGATGTCAAAATGGCCTTTGATTAATCACCATAAAAGCTAATTGCAGCTTTTTTTGTGCCTAAAACTGGTTAAGCTACAAAAAGCTGACCATCAGTGTCCGGTAAATATCTACAACTTGAACGTATTCCTTCAGTTTTGAGTCTTTATCCTCTAAACCAGACAATGTGACTCATAATTCCCAAGCTCTAATCATTTAAAATGTTTCATTTATTTCCTATCTTGCAGTATCATGATGCTATGGAACAGGAAGTACCAGGAGTTTGACCTGGTGGTCAGCTCGGTTACCACAAAGGTAAAGGGTGTGGCTCAGGCGCCCCTGCCCGAGGTCGGGAACATGGTCTGGGATGAGGTGGACTACAGCGGGCCTTGGAAGGTGGGAGCTTGATCCTCTGGGTGCTGAGCTGTGAAGGTTTTTTTTGTGGTTGTTAACAATAAAAATTCCTTTATTTATTTATTTTAAAATCTTTGTAGGGGAAGAACACCTTCTTTGTGGTGACCAACGTCATTGTGACAAAGAATCAGAAGCAGGGGAAATGTGCGCAGGTGCTTTTTCATCATTTATATTTTTTATTATTATCTGTGTTCATCTTGTTTTAATGAGATCACATATTGCTAACAAAGACTACAGTAAATAGAAGATGTCGTTAGTAAGAGGAACTCCAATTTTCTGTCTATTTCTCAGGTTCCTCTCAAAGGCAGATTCTGTCACACTGATAAGGACTGTGAGAAAGGAGCCTGGGACCAGCAGAAACACGGTACAGTGACTTCTTTCAGTACACCTTGTTTCATGTCCAGGGCTAAAAACTGAGCCAACAGACTGCAGGTTTTTTAGCTGCTAGAAGGGCAGCAAACAAGAAGGAGTCCAGTTCACCTTAAACATGTTTGTTTCTACTTTGAAATTGGGCATTTTAACATGAGAGTCTATGGAGATTCACTCACTTTTGGGGTCAACCTCCACCAGTGATACGGGAACTGCAGTTTTTGAGCTTGAAGCTAAGAATAAAGACATCATTAAGTATTAAAAGATAAACTGACACGTTGTTGGTGTCAGTTTAAATAGATTTTCTATAAAGATTAGAAATGTAAAAATAAAGAAACGTC